TGGAGAAGCTAAGGGAAGACAGAGCATTTGTTGAAGGTGTGAGAGCCATGGGCAGAGAGAGATAGGATCTTCCTGAGGGCTGCATGATGTCAGGCAGTGAGAGATATGCCTGTGCATTCCATACACCCATACTCAGAGGATCTGCATAGCCAAAGGGGGGCCATGCTAACCCTGCACCAAAAAACAAGTGTATGGTTATGAAGAGACCATCAGGCCCACTCTGTGGAAGGAGTGTGCTAGAGAACAGGAGCTGGAAGAGAGCAGAGCAACAAGGTTTGATGGCAATCCTACCAAGAGCAGCAGGTCTCATGTGGGTCAGAGACGTGGAGGGGCAAGGAGAAACGGGCACAGCTTCAGAGCTGTGTGTCATCACAGTTATTAGGAAACAATCACACTGCGGATGAGGCACCAGAAGGCCGGACAGTATGGGTAAAATAGAACAAGTTCAGCTCTGTGCACACTTTTCAAAATCAAATGGAGGACAGCTAGGGGTCGGTGTCATTCTGTGGGCTGCAAGTTCAGTAAGGCCAAGGGCAGGGGTGACGGAGAATGCAGGGAGATCCCTAGGAAGAGAACTGAGAAGAAAAGAAAGCAGAGGTCTATTGCACAGACATGTCCAGTAGGCCTGAGACAGGAAGCAAAGAGCAGGAAGGTGACCCTGCACCCCAGGACATGACCAGGAGAACAATGGCGGAGAGCACAGGGCCTGAGTAATAGAATATCAAACATTAACCCCAAAGGAATCCTAGAGTTAAAACCTCAGAAGAAATTCCCAATGACCCAGTTCGGATTTTTTGACCCCTTCATTGTGTGCTGGACAATGGCAGAAATCGTTGTTGGTATTGTTCTGCAGCTGACATATTTGCTGGTCAGGAAGAACAATGCGCCAAGATACTATGTTAGGCATTCTATTGTTGTTCTTGCTTACTTTATCCCGAGTTCCAAATGCCAAGCCCGCTTGAGAGACACTTTAATGAGGTTAATCTGTTTCCAATGTTGGGAACAATCATTATTCAATGCTGTTCTGTTGTGGACAAACATCGTACAATTCATTCTAACAAAGATTCGTGACAATTCGCCTCTCGAAGCCCTCCCCTTATCTCCAAGACTCTGTGGTCCTGAATGACTTCTGGGTTTCATTGTCTGTAAAATCTTTACTACCAACTCTTCACTAAATAACCCAGCCAGCTGGACCCTCCCCCCATTCTCAGGAATATGCCCACTCCTGTTAATGAATAATGTGGGGATTCATGAGGTCCCTCCTGCCCTTGCCCAGACTCATGTAGGTTTTCTGGATCAGTTCCCACCGGCACTCCTGCCTTGACTAGGCCATCCATGCTTAAACTTTCCAACCTCCCCCCACTCCCACCTGGAGAGAAGGGACAGGTCACATAATGGGCTGGGTACTCCTTATCTCTGTAGACTTACACCTCACCCTTACTGCTCCTATTAGGCACTGAAAGACCAAAGGTCAGCCACTCCAACAGCTAATCCCAGAAACAAAGGTTCCTGGTATCTCGAAGGAGAGATTTCAAGGTCACTATAGAATGCAAAGATCCATAGGATTGGAAGATGCCAGGAAATGCCATTCTGCACTCTGCTACGGGTCAGTGTCCCAACAGCCAATGCTTCTATTCTAGCCCCCATGCCTCCCACAGGTTTTCCCCTTTCCCCACAAGGCTGGACTAAGGTCTTCTGTCTTTGGATTCCCTTGGTTGTGGCGTTGTCTGCTCCTCAGGACTTCTCAGTCTGTGTCCTCAGGGCTCCATATTACTCCCTGGGACCTGCTGAGTGATCAGCGCCTACCTGAGACAGTACAGGAAGTGGGTGTTCCAAATGCATTTGTGGACCAAATGAGTACATATAAAGGTGGGACAGGAGTGACTGCAAGGGAAACTGAGGCATACGGTTCAAAACACCCCAATTCATCAGTTTAATAAAAGCAAACACACGAACCCCTTATCCCTGAACACACTCACGCTGTGTAAACTGATTAACAGCATGTCAGTCAATACCTCTGGTGGAACCCAGTCTGGCACACACGCGGTTAAAGCACAGACCTCTTGCTGGTTTCAGAGACCCTTGCTCTTTTCCAGTTCTGTTCCCTATAAAAGAACAAGAGGACTGTGGACTGTCCTCACCAGCACAATGCTCCCCCCAACTCACCCCCACTCCCCCATCCTGACATATGCCCTGCTGGGGCTTATATAGGAAACCAGCCTTCTCATCTAAAGCCAGGCTTAAGGAGAGCCACCCATACTGACATGGGAATAAAATCTCCCTTCGTTTGAGCTCTTTGGTCATTCGGTCCCTGGAGAAGTGACTAACGGTCAGGAGACAGCAAGTCTGCTGGGCAGGCATGACCACACTTAGGGAAAAGTTCGGATCTCAGACCCAGAAAAGCAATTTGATAGGCATTCATATAGAGTGCTTACCTAGCACTCTATGACCCTGGTCCAATCACCAGGCAGACCTGTAGCATCTTACCATCTAAATGGTGTGCTTAGAGAACATTTGACTTGAATAAATACAACGGAAGATACTTTGTTGCTGTGGTATCTCTAATAGCTAGTTTTAGAAGGAGCAGGGCAAAAATGCTATTGGTAGCATGAAAAGGACACTGGTTGCAAAATTAGTGTGACTTTTTAATGGATCCTCTTATAGACCCAGAAGTCATATGCACATTAGCAGGTTTCCCAGTTCAGGGCAAATACCATGCCAAGATAACATCTTAGGGTGCCCACAGTCCAGAAGGCTGAAGCTCCTTCAAAACAGCTTGAGGAACAGAGGAGAGCGAGTGGCCAGGAATGTACACGGTCACATAGAATAATTAATAGGAAGTAAAACAGTCTCAAACCTCAACATTAGCTCGTTTGATTTTTCAAGTAAGATCAGAACTTTGTGTGACTGACTCGTTCTTTTTAAAGTCCTCTGTGTCTGAAAAGTTAGCTCTGCTAACACTGTCATCCAGAAAAATCTAAACAGTGGCCTGCTTTTCCATTACAATGACCTAGCCTGGTCCCCTTAGAAGTACTAAGAAGTCTTTTGGTCCATCTTTTCCCCCCTGGGGTCTGAACCCAGGGCTACGCACATGCTGGGCAAGCACTTCACCAAGCAGCTACATCTGTAGGCTTCTTTCTACTTTTTTCTTTTTAGGGAGGGTCTCACAAATATGCCTGGGCTAGCCTTAAACTCACTCCATAGCCCAGGCTTGCCTTGAACTTGAGATCCTCCTGCCCCAGTCCCCAAGTAACAAGAACTATAGGTTGAGCCAGCGCAGCAAGCCTGCTCTTTTGAGAAACTACCCTCACCATGAGAAAGGGTAGTTAAACAACGACCTGTAGTGAAGGGAGAGACCCGGACAGTCTGGAAGGAATTCTCTGAAGTTGGCTGCTGATGTAATCACCCTTCTTCAGTAACCAATGAAGAAGCTGCCACCAGGGAGGCAAAACTCAATTAAGAAACCTGAGTACATATTACCAGTTTATTCTAGTATGTAACAGTTAATAATTTATAGTAGAGTTGATCAGTATCGGTCCTGCAGAAAAGAGGTGAAATTCTTAGAAGGAAAAAAAATGCAGAATTAAAAAACAGTTTTGGAGTTGTTTTGCTTGTTTGTTTTAAATTGGAAGTGCCCATAAGTAGCAAACAGCATTTTTAGGCATTTTGAGGGGGAAGGGAAACTGTTGAGAGGCCACACCTTGTGGCCTTTGGGCCTGCATGGCTGTCACAGCAGCAGCTGAAGTGTATTCTCTAGAGGCGAAAGCAGAAAATCTGGCCGGGCTCCTCCAGAGCTGGAAGTCTGGCTCCTGCAAACATCTCCCAGCGCCCTCCTGGCCAAGCACAGCACCAGAGGAAACAAAAACTAAAAAAAAAAAAACAATTTGCGCAGGGAACAATGCGATGTAGTTTCTCTTTGGTTTCACACTCAAGTCTAAATGTGGTTATAATTTTCAGGCACACACTCATAAAAGGCAAGAGTTGAGGCAGTGACTTTTAGGATGCGTAGAAGAGCCCGCATCTGTTCTCAAGCGTGCTGTAGGCTACACAAAAGTCGTGGGAAAGCAAAAATACAGATGTTTCCAGGCAAACGGCCCAAAGCTGTTCGGCCTCAACCATCAGAATCTCCAAACAACCAGAAACACGCCCAAAGCGATTCCCCCTGAACATGTGTGTGGGACTCTGAGCGGCGTGGGGTGTGTGTGCCCACCCTTCTCTCCAGGACCCA